CACTGGCTCGAGCGGAGGCAGCAGCAGCGCTGGCAGCACCTCGTATGGTCAAATAGAGGGCAGAAATTGCCAAGAGGAGTGATGTGAGATAAAAAATGGTGAGAAACAGCATGGTGGGYACTGGGGTTGGTGCAGATGGCAAAGAGGAGCTGCTGGAAGAGGGGGACGATCCCTGACAGGAACCGTGGCCTGTGCAGGCCCCGTGTAAGAGAAGGTTCTCCTGACTGGAATGGGGCCTGTGATGGCTCCACCTGACCGGGGGATGGGGCCTCTGGAGGCTCCACACAGCAGCAGGATGTTCCTGGCAGCAATTTTAGCCTGTGGAGGTGATTCCTAGCAACAGTAACCAGTGGAGGCCCCACACAGCAGCTGGTTCTCCTGATGGAACTGAGGCCTATGGAGGCCCCACAGAAACCTGAGTCAAGTATGGGAAGAAAGGACAGCTATAATGTTCCAACCATAGCTCTCCCAGTTCCCAATCCCTCTGCACCCCTCGGATGGAGGTAGATCCCTCAGAAGATGGGGAGCTGAGCCATGGGAAAAGGGGAATGGGTGGGGATAAGACACTGTTTGTTAGTTTTATTTTCATTTCTCAACATCCAAATCAGTTGGCATTAAATCAAATTGACAGCGATTGGAAAGGGATCACCATATTTTTATAGCAGCCCATCAGCTTTTTCATCTTATTTCCCCCCTTGCTGTGGTTGGGCAGCACAGTGAGAGGACATCTGGCAGCCCACCACAGCAGCAAACACCCATTTCTGCTACTCTAAGCACTCATAGTGCCAAAAATGTTTGGCACAGCCCCTGTGGCAGGACTTATGGAAAGCCAGATGACTGTTGTCCATAAAAAAGTGGGATGCTAGTTGTTTCTGTTGGCTGTGCTCTGCTTCCGTGGTGCCTCTGCCATCCGTGGGGGTCTCATGGGTTATCCTTTGTTGGAGGCAGAGGTGGTGACAAGGTAGAAACAGAATTATCTGACTGAATGCAAGGGTCATGAGGTGTCTAGGGCAACACCTGCTGCATGAATAACCTTARTTCTAACAGAAATAGCGAGTTCATTTGGTTTCTTTTTAATAGATACGGGGCYTGTAGTGCTGGTGTGGCTGCTTGGGGATAATTTCTCCATTATYAAACCCATGTTTTGGGGGCTGATTCTTTCTTACTCCTTCCTCCTAAGAGTAGGATTAGAAATGGAGGGAATTTAATCCTGTTTAGTGCCTGGCATGTGGTTCTGATTGTTGCAAAGGTAGACAGCAAAGCCAGGASCAGCAGATGCAGACTGTAAGATCGAGACAAGGGCAGAGGTTTTCCAGTGGAAGGGAAGCTGTAGGATCTGAGCAGGAGTTCAGCTGTATTTCCATAGGTGGTTCTGAACAGTTCCCATTGCTGTTCCATACATTACTTGTATTGTCCACTGGAACTCATGTGAGTGGAACACGTTTTGTGTAGCGCTGAGTGGTGGCCAAGCAGCTTTCATTGAGCAGACCCAGCTCCAGCGAGGGATTCCCATGTCGGTGCCATCGCTACAGTAGGAAAAACCTGGCTTGGACATTCCATGAGTTTTCTGCTGTTGTAGTATTTCAGAATTGCATTGCTTCCAGGAAAAGGCTCATCCTGACTTTTCTTTGAATGCCTGCCTGGAGAGACCGAGCTATTGGGAACATGTTGCCAGTTCCTGGCAGATGGGGATGGTGGAGGTGACAGTGACATGTGCAGGGACGCTCACTGGAATTTCCTCTCTGCCTCTCTGCCATGAACTCTGATGCATGTAGAGTATCAGCCACTTGCAAAACAAAGATGTGATTCATGGGATTCTGAGCATACTTTGTGGTAACTTTATTAGTSCAGGAAGTTTATTTGTGGTCACAAAATATTCAGTTGTTTAAATCAGATTTAAGTAGCTTTAAAATTTATATGGTTTGGAAGCAAAATCCCAGCCTCCCTGGAATCAATGGGGGAAACCACCACAGSCACTGGTATAAGATTTGGCTTGTGATGCTTTAAGAAATGTGTCTTCTGAAAGTTTTCTACTCCTAATTGCATTCCTTTGTTCTTTTCCCTTAAAGTCTTGTGAAGAAAGCCATCTGAAGACGATGCATCCGTGACTGCTGATACCAGCCTGTGAGCCGGGGCGATGGAAGTTCTAGAGGGCCACCAGCGTACTGCTTCCGTGACCGTTCCCAATGGATATGCCAACAAGATTTTCCAAGCCAACATGGAAGAAGGGAGCACTGATGCCTTGGAGGCCTGTGGTGCTGAGCACTGCACCTCCAGTGACGCAGTCCCCAGTGAGCAGGAGGAGACACACAGGTATAAGAAGACAACCAAGGGCAACCGGATCTGGAATTTCGTCAGACGAAGGAAGGGACTCTCTACGAATAAAGACAGACCCCAGTCCATGATCCTGCTGGGAGTTACCTCGGAGGTCTCAGAATTAAAAAAGCCATCCTTCATGGACAGGGTACGGTCATCAAAAAAGGGAAGATCCTCCAGGATGCCCAAGAACGTGGATTTGAGGGCATCCAGAGTGCAGGAYGTGTGTGACCCTGAGGACGACCTCCATTCCAGCGGGCAGAGAGCTGTCTACAGGGTTAAGAAGCTGGGTGGTGATGGTCGGAGGCCCTCCCGCCACTCCTACGCAGGGTACATCGAGGATTTGGACTCTTCCTTTGAGGACATAGAGCTGAACATCAGCATTCCTGAACTTGATGCCACTGAAAGTAAATGTCTCAGGGATATCAGTGRCAGATTACACGGTGAGGATAATGATGGTAACTGCCAGAGAACACCAGCCAGGAAGAGCGAGTCTTTGAATTTTGAACACGTGAAGAGTTCTGCAATTACAGAAGGGGACAATCAAAAGAGGTGTGCTGTGCTCCCACAGGAGAGCAGGAGAGGAAGGAGCTCTGATGTCTGGAGCTATCTGAAAGGCATTTCTTTAGCTAACAAAGATAATTCAAAGCTCCCAGATCAAAGGGCTGAAACCAATTTCCAGAACTTAGAAAATACAACTGATCATTCYGCTTCTTACTTTGACTTTGATACGAGATGTGAGGAGAATCTCGGCCAGCGGAAAAAATCAAACGGTGCCACCAAAGCCACTCACTTTGGGGGTGTTGTGAGGTTCTTAACCAGCGTGGCCGAGGCGGCTCGGCGGCTGCGAGGCTCCTCAAGGGCGTTTTCCCCCGATGAGAAGAGGCCTCAGCGGAGTTTCCGAGGCCGGAGGCAGGATGTTGCCTCCCCCAAAGAGGGCTTGGTTATCGAGAACGAGAGCGCAAAGGCCTTCTGCACRGTGGGAGCGTGTCTGCAGTCCCCGGATTCGGGCACCTGGGAGAACCTGAGCTTTGAGAGTTTAGCAGGGAAGGAGCCCGTGCAGCATTGCAAAACCAGAGAAGGGGCGAGGGAGATCGGTTCCTCTGGCCTGGACAGTGGGAATGGCAGGCTGAATGAAACCTTGCTTTCTCCCTTTGGGCCGGAACCACCCATGTCCCACCTGGCTGAGCTTGCWGATGGCTCTTTCACTGAGCTGAATAGCAAAGAGCTCTCTGAGGATCTGACTGAACTTCCACAGACGACTCTGACTGAACCGAGTCAGGACTTGGGCAGTACTCCAGAGAAGACCCAGGTCATGGCCGGGGGCCTGCCACCTTCTCAYGATCTGCCCGGGAATAGTCTGGATACTGTGGACCTGGGCCATTCTCCAGCTGCCAGTGGGGACTTTTCTGCAGAAACTGAAGTGCAGACCCACCTTTCCCAGGCATYGCAAACTAAACTTGATACTGAGGATGTGGCTTGTGCTCCAGTGRTTGCTAAAGACATGGATCCATCTCCAGCGGTTGCTCAGGAGCTTTCAAAGACAGAACTGCATAATCAGGACTTGAGAAATCCTGAGCTGCTTTTGCAAAACTTGTCTGGAGATGAGCTGGAGTCTCAAGACAATGGCAGTACCCTGGAGAGGGTTGTGGGCAGGGACCTGCCACCTTCTCCTCATATTCTTGTCAATGATCTGGATGCTGCAGACCTGAGCTGTTCTCCAGTTGCTGCAGGTGACTCTCCTGCAGTGACTGAGGCTCGGACCCACCTTCCACAGACATCACTGAGAAAACTTGGTGCTGAGGACGTGGTTTGTGCCCCAGTGATTGCTAAAGACGYGGATCCATCTGCAGCTGTGGCTCAGAAACTTTCAAACACAGAACTGGATAATCAGGGCTTGAGAAATCCTGAGCTGCCTTTGCAAGACTTGTCRGSAGGTGAGCTGGGGATTCAGGACTCRGGCAGTGCTCCAGAGATGTCCCAGGCTGTGGGCACGGATGTGCCACCTACTCCTCATCTTCCTGTGAATGAGCAGGATACTGTGGACTCGAACCATTCCCCAGCTGCCAGTGGAGACTGCCCTGCAGCCCCTGAGGCTCTGATCCACCTTCCAGAGGCAGCTCTGACTGAAGAGATTCAAGACACTGTCAGTACTCTGGAGAAGAGTCAGGTCAYGGGCAGGGACCTGCCTCCTTCTCAYGACATTCCTGAGAATATTCTGGATGCTGCGGATGTGGGCGGTTCCGCAGTTGCCGACGTTGACTTTTCTGTTGTGACTTTTTTGAAATGTTCCACAGTGAAAAGACAGGGTTTGGAACAGCCTGATGGCCACGTTAAAAAGCGGGGAGCCACTTCATTTGTGGAACAAAACTCCGAGGAGGCCATGGACAGAGTGGAAGAGTTTAACTGCAACATGGAGTGTAGGCCCTTCCAAGTGCATGTCTCGAGGATTGTCTCCTCCGGACGGCTCAAAAATGGAAAGGTATGAGCAACTTTGACTGTAAGATTTGCAATAAGRCCACACTGTTGTACATTTTATGAAGTTGGTTTGCATTTGAGAGCATTTTTCTACATTCCTCATTGGGATTTTCAGTTCAGGAGATTGTTCTGTGAATGGTAGCTGGTTCTGTGAAAAGATGGAGCTCTTTTATCAGTCTGAGTCTGAGCTCTTAAACCTCCAGAGCTGCTTCTCCCACAACCCTTTGTGTGTATCMGTGTCTCTTGAAGAGGCTGTAGCAGTTTGTGTATTTCTAGGTTCTACCTTCAGTTTTTTTCCTCTCTGCCTTTAAGTTCATTTGAAGTAGAAGCTCCTAAGAAGAGAAGTTTTGGCAGGTTGGAAGTTTTTGGACAAACAGAATCCAGCTGCACTTTGGCCCCTGTGTTTTCTTACCTAAAATAATTGTAGGAGTGGTGGTCATTGATTCTTACTRAATGTCACTGGTTACAACACAGCATCTGGGGCAGCTGGCAGAGTCCTGGCATGGAGTGTAAGAACAAAAAATAAAACCAGAGGCCCCATTTCTTGTAGAGCTCAYGGGATCATTGCTCATGAGCTCTGTCCCCGCTCCAAACCTGTCAGAAGTTGTGTGGAATCAACAGTTTGGTGCTRAGCCTTTAGCAGAAAACTTGGCTAAAGGTCTGGGTGCATAATGTGATCAAAACACCTTTTTACTGTGACTCCATGGTGAGTGGGGTCTTGTCAGGACTGCCCTGTATCTCTCTGTGCACAAAATGGTTCCCTTTGGGATGGTAAACACCCTGTCCTGAGTGAGGGGTGGGCAGTGCTACAGGTGAATCTTTCAAAGCCCTTAAAAATCCTCAAAATATTTGAGTGGACATTGCATTTTGGACTAATGTCTTGTCCAGGTTATTGCTAGGAAAGGATTAGGACCTCAGAAAGCCCTTGGCACCAGTGTGAAGCCCATCTGAGTTCTTTTGGGTGCCTGCTGATTATCTGAGGCTAGAATGATGACTTTTAGTGGTTTTAAGGTGCTGGGTTGGGAAATGGAATCAATTTGTGAAGAAACTTTCTCTTTTCATTTTGGGCTTGGAGAGAMTAGAGATATTCCAGAGGTGGTGACACTGTTCCCTGTTGGAAAAGGGGTCACARTAGCTTCTGAGCCAAGAGGGGAAGTGTTTGAAAATTGGCAGCAGATTAGAAATGCTAGGGGGAAAAAAATCTGAACTTCTGACTCGCAGCTAWAACAGGCAGTAGTATTGTTAGTTATTCCTGGTTTTGTTTTTCTGCTCCATTCTGTGTAATACAAAGAATTACAGAAGCTCTCTGTGTAATTCCAGAGTGAGTAGTGGGTGGTCATTCCTTGGAGTTTCTGGAAGAAACGTTTTTAGGAGGAACTTGACAGGACTGTGGTTTGATATCCCTTCACAAGGGCCAAGCTGAAAGTATTTTGGGCAGGTGCAAGAGAACAGAGGCACAAAAGGATGGAGTGGAGTAGAGGGAAATACTGGGAATACCCCCAGAGCAGCCACGTCCCCTGTCTGATCCCAGTGCTCGCAGGACTCAATCCCAGCACTCTCCCAGCTCAGCTGTGTGACCAGGAGATGCCCTAAGTCCCAGCTCAGCTGTTGCAGCTTACAAACATTACCGAGAAACTTAAATATGGTGCTTGAGATAACTGGGCAGGAAACCTCCCCCGAGTTCCCGTGGAGCGTGGCGATAGCACACGACCTCCGGGCTGCCGCGGCTTCCTCTCACAGGGCAGGCTGCTGCCTCCTGGGCAGGAGCAGCAGCGGGGTGGAGGGGAAAGCAGACAGCCCCAGCTGGGTTGTGGACACCTCATGCATCCCAGGAACAGCAGCGGGGTGGAGGGGAAAGCACACAGCCCCAGCTGGGTTATGGACACCTCCTGCATCCCAGGAACTCCTGCTGCAGGTTTGGGAGTGCACAGAGATCTGGTGGTGGTGTCAAACCAGAGCAGTTGAAGTGAGGGTAAAGGAGGGAGCTCCTGGGCAGGAAGAGCCCTGGAGAGACTGCCAGCAGCTCCAGTAACAAATGACCTGAGATACCCCAAGGATTTGCTCGCCTATCTCCCATCAGGGAGCGGCACTCGGAAGCACTTCACCAAAAATAAACATGGGAGAGGAGTAACTGCTGCCTGAGCGTGACAGTAGCAGCAAACTGCAGCCTCTTATTGTTTTAGGGCTCAATCCATCTCTTTGCTGGCACCTGTTCCTCAGGACAGTTGTTGGCCCTGCTGCCTCCACTCCAGGCTGCTCTGAGTGACTGTAGGATTTGTGTTTCAAGGGAAGTGCYCAACCACAGGCAGGGAGAGGGTGCTGCCAGGACAGGGTGGCTTGGCTTGGCCAGCTGCTGTGAGCAAGCAGTGTAGGGTAGAAAGCATTTCCCAAACAACTTCAGCATTGTCCACAAAAAACATGAAAGTGCCTGTTCCCACTGTGAACAGAAGCTCCTGTGAGGAAATGATGCGGGAAACTGAGGCTGGTGTGGCATAAGGGATGCTGGGAGTGGGATTTAGGGGAACTGCACAATGCTGCTGTCAGTAGGTAAATCTGTTACAGCTGCATTTGCAATGAATGCCCCTGGTTTTTGCTTTCCTATTGTTGCCTTTTAAAGTTGTGATGTCTTTGGGCAGCAGCTGAGCARTATTATGGGCAAATAGTTTTGTAGGATTTGATCCTAGTGCTGTAAAGGAAATGGCATTGCAGTAGCATTTAATAAGAGCAGCTGTAGAAAGRTAGAAAAGCACTTACTTTCCTGATGGTCACTTTCAGATCCCATCCCAAATTATCATGTATTCTGGGAATTTGAAACAGGGGAGATAAAATGTTTTGAAGAATTGGAAGAACAGTAAAGGTCAAAATAGATTGTCAAAGGGAATTGCATTACTCTGTTCCCAGTGCTGCAGCTGTGGAATCRAAGTGCTGTCCTTACTCTGAGAGAAATGGGAAATGGAGTGAGAGATGTGATGTGGAGGTTTTAGTAGGTTTTGGACAGAGTTTCCATTTTCCATGTCTCCACTGAAGGGAATTTTATCCTCATCCCACCTCTAAAAATCCCCACAGCATCCCAACAGGGAAACTGCTGCCACAAGGAGTCAGGCATGGCCCCAGCAGTTACTTCTGACCTCTTCCAGTAGCTTGAGATGATGCTTAGATGGAAAGCAGCTTTGACATCACATAATTTTAAACTTTCCATCAGGGTTTCAAGCTGGCTGATGCATCCATGGACGAGATTTGTGGGTGATTTGATACCTCCTTTGGAGTGACACAAGGGAAGGTTGCAAAATACGCATCTGAATTMATATTTCAGGTATCAGTTTGGAGTTTTTAGGACCCAGAAACAAGTTTCAGATTTATTGCTGGCAGAGAGATCCACTGTGGGATGAAATCCCTACTTGTCCCAGGACCACAAGCAGGAGCATCGTGGAGCCTCCGGGCTGGTGTCACCCTCGCAGTGACAGAGCAGAGGGCTTCCACTGCAGTCTTTCTGTGCCCTCTGCTGGCTTGWTGGGGAAATAAGAGGTTATTTTTGTAGAACAGCCTAATCTTTTTTCCTTRGGATTTAGAATTTTATCTCCAAAGGATTTGCAGGCTGCAGCTTGCTTCTGGCTGTCGTGGCTGCAYGTAGACCTCAGTTGTGCTTGTGAGGCCGTTCTCTGGGGGGATTAGGACTGCCAGAAGTGTGAAAATGAGATTTCCATGGGCTTGTCATCTTGGTTAAAGGTGTGTGTCCCAGAGGATGAGGTGCCAGGCTGATGGGATGCTCTGTTYCCCAGCCAGTTTGGTTGCAGGGCTCAGTGAGGGGCTGTGTGCTCAAACTCCTGAATCACTGCAGATGTTTCTGTGGAGCAGCTGTTGAGGTTGTTCCTCTGAGAGTCCTGTGCTCAGGATCCAAACTGTCCCAGTGCCTGAGGCTCTCCCTGGTGCAGAGTGCTGCTGCCCCGAGTTGCACACACAATATGGCAGGATGGGGGCTTTCAGGGTATTTGTAGGATTTTGGGATTCCTGTGCCATCGCTGCGCAGTGTGGGAAAGCAGGAGCCTCTCCCTGCACGGTGGGTCTGACTGGAAGCACAGGATTACTGATTTGCCTGAGTGTGCGCATGCCAGGGGATGGGTTTGCAGATTTGCTGCCTGATAGCTGGGGCACAGCTCAGATCCTCCCACAGCTTTGGGGTTTGGCTTTAGTGCAGCTCCAAATGCCTTTTCATAAGAGGAAGATARAGCAAATTCCCTTCTCTGTGTTTGCTGTGAAATTGCAGGTGCCCAACAAGTTTGTAGTGACTTTTAGGCTTGAGATTGTTTTGTTGTTTCTCTGCTTCACATGTTGGGAGCAGCTGCAGAGATGGGATTGCTGACTGGATTTATCCCTTCCCTCCCACTGCTGAATGACACTGACCAGGAAATGGTATCGGAGAGTTGATCTTCAGAGCTTTCTTCATCTCCTGCTTACTCAGCTCCTGGGTTGTGTCTCAGCCTGCTGCTTACAAAAGGCTTTATAGTCCTTCCAAATTAAGAAACASTACTTTACTTTCTAAATCCTGCTGTTGCCAAAAGAGTGCTGTATTCCTGTCTGCAGCGAGGTGCAATTTACTTGCAGAATGAAGATTTTGGGTATTTATGGCTTTTAATGTGGTTGTGTCTGACAATCATTTTATTTTTAGAGGAGACAAAACCTCTAAAGCCTAACTGCAAGCTATTCAGAAGCTTGTATTCATAATAACCAGGAGGTGCTAGCAAAATCTTGAATTAAAACCTATATTTAGTACTATCTATAGTGGGGTAGGGTTTTTTGGGAAGCGTATTTTTAACGCTGTCAGGGAAAGGCAGGTTGAGTTTGTGAAGCTGATAAGCTTTGCATGTATATATAACCAGCCCTGGAACACATGGATAATTCAGATTTCCACATGTTTGCTTTAAACACATGTTGTGTTTTTCCTTTAGCTGGTTCCCAGGCTCAAAAGTTACAGCAGGCTTTTGTTAGTGATAGGAAGAGGCACCTCTGGGCATTGCTGGCCTTTTCCTAAAGGGAGTCTCTGTCCAAAACTTTCCTGGATGGAAGTTTTCCTTGGGCTTTTACCTCCTCCCAGCTGTTACCCAGCCAGAAGTCTGCTGGCTCACTGGACATTATGCTGGTGCTGGGAGATGGAGCCTTAATTCATGCCCAGTTCTTCTTTGGGGTAATTATAGCCTGTCTGCTTTGTTCCTCATCTGTAAATGAAAATAACAGCGCATCAGTGCAAATGATCTGCTGGAGTCTTGGGGATGGATGCACCAAACCATCCCAGGCACTCAGTTATTAGCAGGCTCCTGGAAGTATGACAGATGTGTGTGTGTGATTGAGCCTAGAAACCTCCCAGAGAGGAACACCTCCTGTTTGCTTCCCCTGACCTTTGTCAAATGATTTTTTCCTTCTGATTTCTTGACTCTAAGATTATACACAAGGCTTCCGCGGTGTCACATGTCACAGAGAATAAAATGAAAAGTAGGAGTTTGAATTGTGATGTTTTTAAAGAGAACATTCTATTCTGCAGAATGTCACGGTACAGTTGTCATTTTCAGGAACTTTCCCTCCTGGAACAGAATAATAAAAGTTGGAGTGAGGAAAATGCCAACGTTTTTCTTCACTGAGCTGGAAACACCAGTTCTTTGGATTGGTGTTACCAAGCATTAAAGTATAACTGGGGGATTTGACCATTTTATGGGCRCTTCAATCAATTGCAACTGTTTTGTTCAAGTAAATTTCTCGTGGGCTGTGGATGCAGAGGACATACCTTGTTAGCTGTTGTCACCAGTGAGCTGGCCTCATCCTGCCAACCAGTTTGGCTGCTCTGTGTCCCTTGGAAGCAGCCAGCCCTTGCTGGTACAGGGTCCTYAGCAACAGCTAATTCCTTCCCTGGGTGTGCTCCTGCTGGGGCTTGGGAATGGGGGAGCAGCTTCACCCCCATAATGCAGAGCAGGAATTGGGTCTCCATCAGGGTTACTCCCAGAAGGTCCTAGGATGCTCAGTGCATCTGGAAATGTTGGATTCAAACACTGTGAGMAGTGCAAGATCTGAACCMTGTTCAGTGGGGTCCTGGGGCCTCSACATCAMGGCCAGCAGRTGCTGACCTTGCRGKTGCAGATTTGCRGTGAGCMGTGTTGCACTGTCTTGGAAACACTGTGTATTATTGTATGTCCTATGATTGCTTTGCTGAGATTTGACTGCTGTTGGTAAAATTCTTCTGTGCCCCTTCTCTTGGCAGCCGACATCTCATCCTTCCCAGCCGTCCCCACAAGCTGCACCCTTCAAGACCCTGGTGGAGCGGTGCCGCTCTGAGCCGCTGTCGCAGAGCACCCCGATGGGGCTGGACCAGGTGGGAGGGCGCATGCAGCACCTGCTCCGGAGACGTGGTGAGTGCCCTTCTCTGCCAGCTTTGGTTTTGGTGTCACCCATCCTGCAGGGCAAGCCAAGGGGGTCAACAGGCARGAATGGGGCTTGCATCCCTGGTGCCAGGTGAGGGAGCTCCGTTAGCCACATGCTGAGGAGTTCCTTGCTGGCTCGTAGGATCATCTTGTGTACAGTGTTTATGAAGTAAGGCTGTTTTCTCTCTTTAATGTCTCTGAACACAGTCTCTGTAATTTGGTGACGAGAGGATGAACAGGTGGGCATGTGAGGTGTAAAAGCTGCTCAGCACCTTCCGTGTTGGTTTATATTTGATAATTTTCTCTTGGATTTTTGTCCTCTGAGAATCCTCTGTGGTGAGTACTCATTGAGTACTCCCCATTTGGAGGTGGTGAGTGGTGATGGATACTGAATCACAGCTTAAGTCTGATGTTTGTTTGGAAACACAAGGAGTGAGGAGTTTTTTCCTCTCTTATGCTTGGGTGCTTTTCATGATCAAGGAGRGAATGTCATGAGCCAGAAACTGGGATGACCTCTCTGCATTTGTCCTGCTCACAGTGACATGGGAGAGAGCACCATGAATGTATTTGCTGGCAGGGTCTTGTGCTGGCAGGTAAATTGGCTGGTGGCTGAATATATGACATCATTTTTTGAACCTCCTAATTAAAAAGATTGATAACGAGAGAAAGGAAATGATTTCCTGAAGGGCTGCTGCTGGCACAAAGAATGCTGTGATTTAGCAATGGGCTAGCACGGGAGTGCTGCCAGCTTGTGCTGGCATTGCTTGGGAGTGCTCCGGGGATCCGGGCGCTGATGGATGGTGGCAGCACGTCAGGGTTCAGAAGAACCAGGGAGGACGAGGCAAATTGGCTGCCTGTGCTGTTAATTGATGGCTCAGCTGCCGGGGTGCACACGTTCCCAGCCCAGGGGAGTCCCACGCACCCCTCGGTGTGAGTGTTCCTGTGTTTGCACGCTGCTCCCAAGCGCTGCTCCATCACCCTGTGTCTCTGGAGCCGCCAGCAGCCTCTGCTATAATCAGCATCGTGCTGCAGCCTGGCTCTCCAAGAGTCTCCAAAGTGAAACGTGTGCTGCTAAAAATAGCAGCAGGCTGCCTGCATCAGCACTGAGGAAATAGGTCTCAGTGCAGTCTCTCTCACAGCAACGCTGGAAGAAAATCAGGATGGCTGCCCAGCCAGCCTGCAGCAGCATCCCAGCTCTGCTGCACTCTGGCCTGGGCAGGGCAGAGCCCTCCTCTGTTTGGTTTGGGGGTCTTCACTTTTCCTGGAACCGTTTGTCCATCAAACCCCTCAGGACTGACACAGTCTGAAACCTCTGCCTGGGTTAGAGGTATGTCAGGAGATAGAAATTTAGTGTTGTGCGTCTTTCAGGGAAGAATTCCAGAATGTGGTTATTTTCTGTACATCCTTGCTCCATGCCTGGAATGAGGAGCCTCCAGATGCTGGGAACACCCATGGGAATGTGTGTACCCCCACAGGGGTATGTGCAGGTACACACATGTGCCCTGCCTRGACCACATGGACCCATGCTGGCAGCTGCTCTGGGGGCACCAGTGGTGCTCAGCTCTGTTTCCTTCCCTCCAGCACAGGGCATGTGAAGAACCTGATGGAAGAAGGGATTAAAATCTAAACTTGCCAAATGTGGGAGGGAAAACTGTGATCTCACACAGAATGGCAACTTCACCCCAAAAAGAGAGGGACAGGATGTGGAGCTGAAAATTTGGGTTGATTGGTAAAGTAGAGCTCATTTGCCTCTTTTTCACAAGCCGCTTTGTGCCGGGGTAGTGCCATCTGCAAGGCCAGRCTGGGCTCTGGTGTGAGTGGTTATCTCTCACTTAAAGCTAGAGCAGAGCTGCATCTGTGAGGGCTTGGCCTGAAACGCTGCGGGTGAGAACTAGCCCAGTTTCCTTAAAAACCAGCTTGTAYGGACTTACATTTTTGTTTGGTGTGTAAATTTGGAGAGCTGTTTCTTTTCCAAGGCCTGGCATCCTGTGGGCCACAGTGGCTGTGCAGCTGGGATTGCTGCAGGAGCAGCTGGGACCCGGAGAGCTGCTGCCCTGTGAGCACTGGTGCAGGTTGAGGAGGGTCTSGTGCTTCCTGCAGCTCCTGGCAGAGCATCCTGGCTCCCCACCCAGCTGGCTCGACCCCACCTCGGGATGTGGCTCCCGGCTCTGCCTTTTTGTAGTATCCAAGCTGCACTATTTCTCTTGTATCCCAAGAGCACTGAATAAAGCACCTAAATATACTCTCTGCTCTCTTTTTCTAAAGGAGAGGTTGAATGAGTCTCTTGCAAACAATTTTGTTTCTTTCATTTAAAAGAACAGCCTCCGCCCCCAGCCTGAGCTAAAGCACAGCATTTATCTTTTGTCATTCCCTTTTTTTTTTTTTTTGTTCCCGTGGATTTTCTCCTGGCAGCTGAGAACCAACAGGCTTCAAAGACCCTGAAGGTGCGCGGGAACTGCAGGAACGGTGGCCGTCGATGGAACCTCTTCAAGCCTGGAGCTGAGAAGCTGCAGATCAGTAGGGTAAGGAGCTCTGTGTGGAACGTGCCTCTACCTGCTTCAGGGCTGGGAATTGCCTGCTTTGGGCTTTGTGTTTGTCACAATATGTTTGACTAACAGCTTCCTCAATCCCTGGGTTCTTCAGCCACGCACGGAGGGTTTTTTTGGTTTGTTATTATTTTGTAGCTGTAAAAGATGAGATGCATTGTCCTTTCCCCCAAATCAATGTCCCTTTATTGGACAGCAGAGGCTTTCTGGGCTCTCACTGGGCCTCCTGTGCCTGTGGCTGGGTGCTCCTTGCAGGTGGAGGGAACTGTGACGTTTCCCATCGCCTTCAGATCTGCACCGTGGTTTTGATGGGTTTATTTTTGCTCCTTCCCTTTTTAGCCATGTGTCCTTTGGGTTTGGTGCTTTTCCCAGCACCATCTTGGTGACAAATTCATGTCACTGCTTCTTTCCCGAAGTGTTTTGCAAATATAGGCACAATCCACTTGGTTCTTTTTTTGTGAATGATGCTTCTAATGGGGGTAGGAAAAACTGGTGTGGGCCTGTGGATATTCACGTTTTTCTCTGGGAAAAAATCAGAAAAGATGGCAAAAAATGTATAATTTGTCTGATAGGTTTCCTTGCTTGGGTGGGAGGTTGGTTTTTTTTTTTTTTTTTTTTTTACTGTGCCCGTGTGTGAGGTCTGGAGACCTCGGTTGTTTCCTGGTTGTGTTTTGGATTTGTGGTACTCATGAGTCTGGTTTCATTGGTACTCAACATACCTGGATTGTCCAAAACCCAACAGATTTTCCAGCTTGCAGTGTGATGCAGGCAGAGTTTTCCAGTGAGTGTGGCAGAAGAGGTTTAGCCCTTGCTGTTCTTCACAAACAAAGGGTGATCTCAGAGCCCCTCTGGACTGGAGARGGGAACTGACCTTCTGCAGTTGTGCCTCTGTGGCTCTTTTCCGCCCCATCGCTGTCCTTCCTTAGCAGACCTTTATTGTATTCCTTTTCCCTTTGAGATCTGATGAGCTGCCTTCCTGAAATGTGATTTCCAGGGAGCCCTGGCTTCTGGGTCTATTTTTCCATCACAAGAGCAGTAAGTTGGTGGTGAGTGAGACTGACTTCTCCATCCTCCTTGTATTGGGTGTTGGCTTCTAGGGAACATGTGCAGGGATGGACTCCTGGGTTTTTGGTCACTTGTGACTTTCTGGGATTCCATCTTGCATCACTTCTGTTTCCTGTGCTGATTTTTTTGTGGGCTGAGGTACAAAAGTAGAGGAGRGAGAGACAAGGAGTTCAGCCCTTCTTTTCYTCCTCCTTCCCYGTGGGTCCTACCTTGCTTCCCAGACATGAACTGCTGCTTTCAACTCAGGAAGGCTGTTCTGGTTTTAGACAAGGTGAACATCTAAAGCTCTGAACAAAGTTGCTGGAAGATAAAATGGTCTAGATTCAATAAAGCTGTTTGTCCTTGGGGCCAGGATRAAGGCAAGTGTCTGCAGAGCAATCCAGCAGTGAAATATCCTGCTGTGCAGTGTGCAGGCCTTGCCTTGGAATGTCTCAGGTGTGTTACCCATTAGCTGTTCCCAAATTCAGGATCTGGTACTGACCAGTGCGTGCATACATTTAGTCTGCCTTAATTAATCACTTTATTAATCCTTTAGGAGGAGCCTTTGCAGCTTCCAAGGCTGTTCTGAAGGCTCTCTGGGAAGYCACAGTGCTCTCTGGCAAGCCAAGATGCTGTTTTGACACAAAATTTGCTTCTGAATTATCTGTGCCCTGAGGATCCTGATAAAGCCAGGCCTGTTTCAGATTGCAAACGGTGCCTGACATCAGAGACCCCTAGAGAGGCCGGAAAACTCTGCAAACCAAAAACCTGGCCTAAGTTTGGGAAAGGCTGGCTGAGAAACTGTGCTTCTCCAGTGCTGATAACTGGGAAGGATGTGGAGCTGGGAAGGGAAATGAGCTGTTCATGATCCCAGAGATCTGTGGGTGCTCTTTGGCTCAGACATGGCCATGCTGAAGACCTGAGCCCCACTGAGACAGAGAACWAGCTTTGGGGAGGCCTGTTCCTAAGGCACTCAGTGCTGGATTCTGGCAAACAGGCAGGTGTGAAACCTGTGCTGGGGTTTGTGAATCAGAGGTGCTGTGCAGGAGCTGCAAGGGGAGGATACAGAAATGTGGCTCACAATAGCAGTGCTGGAAAAGTCATCTGTCGCCTCTGCCCTAAGCTCAGTGAAGATCTACAGGGCTGAAAATCACCTCTTGGCCAGAAAGAAGTTTCTACTCTGGCAAGATTTATAAATTTGGGGTGAGATTTGTGGGCCTGGGTGTCCCTTGTCAGGTGCTTTCATTGGCAGCTGACACCGGCGMGGTGCCAGAGTTAGTGCAGCAAGCAGTGATTTATCCTTCCAAAGTAGAGGCCAGGCTTGTGCAGGACCTGTKCTGATTTCCAGCTGGAATGGGAATTTGTGAGAGAGAACAGGAGACTGACAAAGCATCTCGGGCTTGTCTTGGGGGCACCAGTCCCTTGGATAGATGATGGTGGTTGTGCAAGAAAGACCCTGGTGTCACTGCAAGACCTTCAAAACTGCAGAGCCTTGCAAACCCTCAGAGGCTGCTTRTTCTTTGCTCTGCACAATGTGCAGGTTTTGGCAAAACTTTCCCCTTCCTTTTTTGGGGGGAGGGGCGTTGGTGATGGTTTTATGTTGTTTGTTGTTTTTTTTTTTGTTTTGGGTAGCTGTATGCGTGAGTTAGAAATGGCATCTCTTAGCACCTGCTAACCCAGAAACCTGAGCTGAGAGCTGATCCTAAGCCCAGAAAGGAATCCCCTTGATCAAGCCCCCAGTTTGTCACTATTGTTTGTCACATCTGGTCACAGTGTCCATCATTTGCCACCTGGCTGCGTCCTAATCCATCTGTGCAGAGAGCAGGGATGTCAGAATGCTGTTGTGGTAGCAGGGAAGGAGAGAAGGGCAGGTGACTGATCCTGTGCTCCATCTCCTCTCCACCTGGGAGTGCAGGTGTGCATGCAGACCTGGGGCTTTTCCCTCTGCTCATGGCTCCCTTCTCCTGTCAGTCCTTCCCCAGCTGTCCTCACAAGACAATCCTCAATTCTGGGCACAAGCTGAAGAAGTTTTCTGTGGAGTAGATAAGGTTACTGTTCCCCCTTTGTAGGTGGGAATAAGAAAACTGAAGCACTGTGGGGTGGTACATATAGAGCCATGCAATATTTTTTCTCCTCTCCTAATTTAAGAAGCAGGTGAAAAACAAATAGGGTCAGACTTCCAAAAGCTTTTAGTATTTTATTTTTTCCCAGAGTACACTTTTCRGCCTGGAGAAAACTCTGTTGAAGCAGTTTATGTGCAGAGCATTTCGGTTTARCACTGAGGTCACTTAGAGCCTTTGCTTTTATGGGAGCAGTTTGGCACAATCAAGATCAACTTGCACAAGACCTCAAGGTGCCCCAAACTGCAGACTTTCCTGCAGCAGAGATCCCAAAGAGTGACCTGAGAGGTGCCCTGACAGGACCTTGAGCATCTCTCATGCCTTTGATTTAGCCTCAGGCAGGTCCTGCCAGCTGGGACATGGCTGATCCTTGGGGACCGAGGGCAAGGGCAGCAATGAGTTACCTTGTGCAGCACTGGAGCGSTGCTGGGAGATGTTTTATGGTCTGGATGGCAGAAGCAAAGGGTGACAGTCCCATCCTGACCCAAATCACTGGCCTCTGCTGCCCCTTGTGAGGCAAATTTTTGCTTCTAGTTAGCTGTCCAGTGAAAATCATCTYRGCTTTTTCCACAGACAGATKCTGTGGGGATGTGCTCTGGGAGGCRATTCAGCCCTTCCTAAAATGGGAAGCATCCTCTCAGTGTGTGAAGATGTGTTAGTTCTCTCTCCCTTACCTGAGAGATTTCATTTCCAGCCCTTAAAGATGACTGCAGCCATTCCTGTTCTCTGCTCCTTACCTCCTTTTCTGCTCTTGTATAAGGGACTAAAGACCACATTTATATGCTGGAGGAAGCCACTGTTAATTAGCTAGACTGGAAACTTTGCATGAGAGCCAGCTTCTTTGACATCCCCTATACTAATAATAGGCAGGCCTGCTGTGCAGAGGTGTTGAATATTCACAAAACCCACCCCCCCAGCCTGTCCTTTCTCCTCTGGAAGTCAGGAGCTCTTTCCAGAGGCTGGTGGGGGGTTGCCAAAGCTATGATGGTGGATGTGGCAGTCTGCAGCTCCCCAGAGCTCAATCCCCACTGGCTGTGTTTATGAGGAATAGGAAATTCAGGCAACGTGCAGCCTCCAGGAGAACAGAGTGAAGTTGATTTGGGTTCTCTCTTGCTCTCACTGTGCTGCAACGAGCAGGGAATGCTGCTTGATATTCAGGGCCAGCTCTCCTGCCTGCTATTTTTATCCTCTCACAGAGTGCTGAGTGGGCACTTTAGATGGAGGGGGGATTTTTTCCTTTTGCCAAGTGTCCTGCGCTGTGTTCCTGTGTACTGGGGCAGGAAGGGGAGTGTGCTGGGGCTCCTGGGCTGCAGCATCTTGGGACGTGAGTGGGGTGTAATCACGGTGATTTTGGAGCCCCTGTGTCCCTGGGAGTAGGCTGGGAGAAAAGCACAGTCCTGTGGCTTTTCTGGTGCTAATTAGTTTAAATATCTGTGTGCTGCTACAAGAGGTTTATGTGCACGTATGGAGGGCTGCCAGGAAAACAAATCCTGGTTGAATCTCTCTTCCCTCATCTTAAACATTGACTACTTCTGTTGGCAGGGTATGTCTGAGCCATGTATTTTGGGGAGGGCTGCTTTATATCTTGATAAACCTATTACGTTGCTCTACTTAGCAGTGCTCTGAAATCTTGATGGAGGGGTTTTTTTTTTTTTTTTTAATATGTAGCCATTTATAAATGTTTTTAGCAAGTTCTGAAAATCTGTCTGTGCACTGTTAAAATAAATAAAAATTGCCTTGCTCATTTGAGGAGGAAACAGGGATTCAGCCTCAGCACATTGGCGGTGCTGTGACCCAGCCCTGTCTGTCTGT